ATATTTTAATAAATGTTTATTTTATTTTAAGTAAAGAATGAATATATATATATATATATATATATATAAATATAATATAATTTTTTTTTAATGAATACATGTAAAGTTCAGAGTTTATATGCACTGCGTTTCTTGGAAAGTTTCCTGTTTTCTGAGCTAATCTAGTTTATGCTTTTAACTTGGCATTGTGAGCTATTACTGACTTGCATGACACATTTCTTGGAAGTTCCTCATTTGTAAGTCACTGTGGATAAAAGCGTCTGCTAAAAGTTAGGGTAGCGTTCACCAAACGGGGTTGAGTAGGGTGTTTGTGAGATTGTGATAGAAATACTAATGCTGACTTACATTTACATTTAAACATTTAAACAAATATTAATTAGGAGACATGACATGCCAAGCCACACATAGCTGATTAGCTAGATATTTGTGCATTTGCTTATTAGATTAAATGTTAGATATTAGATAGATGTTTCAGTTTGGCCTTTTTTAACGTTAATTTTACGACCAAGCAAAGCAAAGCTCTTAAAGGGTGTGTGTGTGTGTGTGTGTGTGTGTGTGTGTGCTGCCAACAACACACATATATATATTGACTTCTCTTTATTTAATAAAAAAAGATCTTTCATGAGGAAGTGCTCTGTGCTTCTGTGCTGGAAATGACATTCATGTCAATAAAAGTTCAGATTTTTATTAAATGCGGAAAGTGATCAAACAGGAACTTTATTTCAAGAAAAACAGATCATGTTAAATGGGTCTTGATTCAGGATCATTTGCCGAGAGAAAGAGAATACAACGTTTTTTAAGTGAACTGTCAGAAAGCTCATTGTTTATTTCCTTGAAGCATTGTCTATTTTGTCTAATTCATCTAAAGTTTATCTAATTAAGGCAGGAGTTTCTGGATATTTTATTGCAGCAGGTCTGTCTTAGTGTAATAATCTTTGCACTTTAATGATTTATTGTAGACCACACAAAGTGTGTAATTACTGCGTGGTTGAGCGTCATTGCCCTCTGCTGGTAATAGTTTGTGTGTGTGTGTGTGTGTGTGTGTGATTATTATTATTTAAATACTCCCAGTTAAATAGACAGAGACAACTATAAGGCAGTGTTCTTGTGTGGTAATGCAGATGATATAATGTTCATGTTCAGATTTCAAAAAGAAAACATTAAAGGGATTGATAAAAGCTTTGCATTGACTTCAGTGGAATATGTCAGACTGATGATTTTATCTTAATTCAGATGATTAAGAGAAGATATAGGACTCTTAATGAGAAGGCAGACATCAGAAGGTTCCTCGGGCACAAACACACCATTCAGAAACTCACACGTGACTCCAGAAGAATGAAAGTGACATTTAGGAAAGAAATGATGCAGCACAGAAATATTTCCACCGGCTGAAAACTGAGCTAGCTCGATAACATCGTGAGAGAGATCAGTGCCTGTCGGCCTTTTAATCCTGTGATTTATGAAAGTAAGTCGACTATTACTCTGAAAGCTCATAATTATTTCATAACCACGCGTCTCTGCCCTGCAGCCTGATGAAGGCTTTTCATGTTTGTGTCTCAGAGACGCTTGCGTGGAATTCGGTGAATGTTCAGTGGGCTGAAGTGAATAGAAATCTGTTCAGCGTGTTGAATTATTGAGAGGTCAAAGACGTCTGTCAGCAGAAATGTCCGATTGCTCCACGTCTCGCCTTTCTAGCATTCCTTCCCTTCAGTGAGCTGTTGTGGATGAAATACAAGCCCTTCCCTGACAAACACACACACACACACACTCAGGCATTCCTGCACATGTATAGTATTGTTCAGAAGTTTGGAGTCAGTAAGATTAATGTACAACTTAACACTTTTAAATAAATTACATTTTACAGCTGTTTTAAATTGTAATAATGTTTACAGTTTTTACTGTATTTTTGATCAAACATATGAAGCCTTGGTGAGCAGACTTTCATCATTAAAGATTTTATTAGCTCTTAAAGCAATAATTCACCCAAATTTTAGAATGTCTTATCAGTGAGTAATATCTTAAAATTCACTCTGTTCCTCACAAACTTATAATGTCATTGCAGAAGATCTTCAAAATACAAAATATAAGACATTCATGATTATGCTGCCTTTTAAGACACCTCGATTTAGCCAGCATTGCACTGTAACAAACGCAATAAAAAACTCATTTTTAAACATTTGACCCACTGTCTGTGTCTTGTGTGTTTTTATGCTTATTAGAGTATGGCGTGTTAGTTGTTCAGCAACATCCAACTACTGAAATCAAACATGAGGACCTCTATTCAACATGTTCAGCTCTGCACTGAAAAAAGCATGATTCATTAGATAGTATCTGAAATGTTTGAACTCTGCAAGCTCTAAATATGCTAAAAATGAATCATAATCTTCACTTTTTTAGTGTTTTTTTATGTACTGTATATACGCACACACACACACACACAAAACTGGTTCTTCAGTGGTTCTTTGGGGTGGTTAAAGTGCTATATAACACCATCTTTAAAGATGTATGTGCTATGTAGCCCTTAAAGTGGTTCCCCTATGGTTAAGAGCCAAAGAAGCACTTTTAGTGCTATTTAGTACCATTTTTTAGTGTAAAGGTTCACTGATAATGTTACTCATGGTTTAATGCATGAGTTGAAACACTGTAAAATAAATACTAGTGATCCCTCAGAAATCACTTGTACATGTTACAAATAATTACACAGAAATGACAAGTGACACTGAATTAAATGTGAAACTTTGAAATAGTATTTTCTTGAAAATGTACTCCAATTACCTGTTTTATGTACAACTATGAACGATCATTTTTTTTTACAGTGTACTGTACTTTTAAGATTTGATATGCAATGAGCCTAAACAGACAAATAAACCACGGCTGCTTGGGGCCTATTGCTTTATTCCGTGTGCTTCAGGTGCGATTCTCGGGCGCTCGGAGACGCAGGAGTGTGCGTTTTATAATGTGAGCTGGGAGAAGGACGGGACGAACCAGAGCGGAGTCGAGTCATGCTACGGAGAGAAAGACAAGCGACAACACTGTTTCTCCACCTGGAAGAACCTCTCAGGAGCCATCGAGATGGTGAAGCAGGGCTGCTGGCTGGACGATGTTAACTGCTACGACAGGTACGAGCAGATGCATGCTCAGATGACTCTGTTTTGTAGTGAACCGAGGATGACACATGTTATCTGTGTGTGTGCAGCAGCGAGTGTGTGGAGCGTAAGGAGAATCCCGACGTCTTCTTCTGCTGCTGCGAGGGAAACATGTGCAACGAGAAGTTTCACTACAGTCCAGAGATGATTCAGAGTGAGTAACACACACTTCACACCGCTCAGACACAAACACACACTCAGATATCCAGTGTGAGGCTGCTGGGACTGGAGCTAAAATAAAATAAGCACGCTTCTCTGGGCAGAAAAGCGGCTGCTCAGCAGGAACAAAGCATCAGTTCAGAAGAGCAGGACACAGTGTTCGCCGTAAAGAAGATATCTGGACAGTGTGCACACTTCAAGACTGATTTCAAAGACTAGCAGCAGTGAAACGTGTCTCACGATTGTGACACTTCCAGAGTGTTAAAAAAGGACCGGATAGAGAATCTAAAATATACACTTTCACTTATATATTCATGGAAATTTGATCCTATTATTTCTAATATAAATAATCACTGCTTGTCACTTTAAGATGCACAAAAATTGTGATGGCAATATCGCACGTTTCTTTTCATTTCTCTGAAATCAAACCAAAAAATACAGAAAAAAGCAGTAAAATTGTGAAATATTATTGCAATTTAAAATAAATGTTTTCTGTGTGAATCTCTGTTGAAGTGTAATGTATTTCTGTGATGCACAGCTGTATTTTCAGCATCATTCCTCCAGTCTTCAGTGTCACATGATCTTCAGAAATCAGTATAATATGCTGATCTGCTGCTCAAGAAACATTTCTGAATCACTGCTTGTCACTTTAAGATGCACAAAAATTGTGATGGCAATATCGCACGTTTCTTTTCATTTCTCTGAAATCAAACCAAAAAATACAGAAAAAAGCAGTAAAATTGTGAAATATTATTGCAATTTAAAATAAATGTTTTCTGTGTGAATCTCTGTTGAAGTGTAATGTATTTCTGTGATGCACAGCTGTATTTTCAGCATCATTCCTCCAGTCTTCAGTGTCACATGATCTTCAGAAATCAGTATAATATGCTGATCTGCTGCTCAAGAAACATTTCTGATTATTATCAATGTTGAAAACAGTTGTGCTGCACGATATTTTTGTGAAAACCACGATACATTTAATTTTTCAGGATTCGCAGATGAATAGAAAGTTCAAAAGAGCAACATTTATTTGAAATAGAAATCTTTTGTAACATTATAAATATCTTTACTGTCACTTTTGATCAATTTAATGAGTCCTTGCTCAATGAAAGTATTAATTTCTTTAAAAAAAAGAAGAAAAGTCTTATTGAGCCAAATTTTTGAGTAATTTTTTGTGAATTTCTCTCTCTCTCAGCCACGTCTAACCCCGTCCCCCCGAAGCCGGACTTGTTTCCCACGTTGCTGTACGCTCTGATTCCCGCCATGGCTGTCGCCGTTATTCTCGTCATCTCGTTCTGGATGTACCGGCGTCTGAAGCTGTCGTACCCGCCGCTGCTCGTGCCGTCACAGGTACTGTACCTCATCTCAATGTCATCTTTATACTCAAGACAAATATCTGAAGATGTTTTCTGGAGAACAGCAGAGTTTGGGAATCTTTCACATAACAGTGCAGTTATTAATGAGTATCCATGTGTTTTTGTGCTACTCATTCATAATAACTATCAATTAATCTACCATTGGGCGGCAAATGTTTCACTGCAGGGTGATTTTCTCACTGTATTTTTTTGACTGTATTTTGTATTTTTTCTGCCAGTGGGGTTAGAAAAATTAACTTACTTTTTTCTGACCTCATTGGCAGATATGAAAAACCAGTCTTAATATCTTGTCTTTTTTGCATTTTGCATCCCAAGTGTTAAGTATACCTTTTTTAAATATTTTGAAATCAGTTTTATTTTGTTTCATTTTAATTTTACTAAAAAGTTTTAGTAATTTTGTTGTGTGTTTTTATCATTTTTAAGATGTTTTTATGTGTCCATATATATATATATATATATATATATATATATATATATATATATTGAGTTTTAGTTTTTT